TTCCCGAACCAAATATAAAATCCCATGAACCAAGTCCGTTCACATAGATTTTTTTTTTTTTAAAGGGCCCATAGTCTTTTAGTTAGAGGCTGACAAGCCATTCCCTACAAGAACACGTGATGAGGCTCAGTTCGTCACAACCCTCATGCCAGAAAGACCTTCTTATCAAATACAAGCACGCAATCTCAGCAACAATAACAAATCAAGCAGCTTCTAATTAACAATCCAGCTGCAGACAATAAGAGAAACTATAAGCAGGAAGTTATACCCTTACAATATGACTCCCTGGGTGTCCTCTCCCTCTAATGCAGGTTGTTTTGTACTGTGTACATACATTTGATGAGGACGTTTTTTCTTGGAGTGAGGGTGTGTGGCTAGGGAGGCAGGCTTATGGTGCACTATTTTGCAAAAAAATATATATATATATTTTATGCAAAAACTATAGATTTAAGCATGCAACAAACACAGCATATTAATGATGCCAAAAGCTATTAAGTATATTAAAAGTAGTATTGGTGCCCAGAGAGTCCCTTTAAACTTTAAATTTGTGCATAATTTTAGATTTTATCACTGTGTCATATTTCCTATGAAAGACATTTATATTATGGCATCACTGTCTGTTTAACATAAAGCCAATCCAAATGATTATAAAATATTTTTAGATAAAGATGCCAAACGTATCAATACTGTAACATCTTGATGCTCTTTTCTTTATAACTTTCGTGTGTTAAATCTTTTCATTTCATTCTCACAGATAAGAAAGCCATTTGCATTTTATCTGACAGCAATGCATTCCTAGGTAAACTCTGCGAGAAAGCAAATAATTCAGCTTGCCTTTCCATGAGTTTTGAATGCTGATATTATAATACTGACCCTGTCTGTTGCAACGAAAACTCAGGTTTTCTTTCGTATACACCAATCTGAGCTGCTAACTGGGTTTGTTTCATATTATTTCTCAAGACTCCACATATTCCATTAACTACCTGGCATGTTCCACCAGACAATGAGAACTGCTAGTCTTTAGTTCTTCTGGAGCTGCCTGGTCTGTTCCCAGCTATGAGCGCTGCCAAGTCTTGCATTCTGTTGCTATAATCAGGGCCTCCATCAGGGCATGACAACCATAACAGTTGTCATGGGCCCAGCGGTCCTGGGGGGCCCGGACTGCTCTGGCAGTCCGAGACTCATATTCCTTATGTGCACAATTATATAGAGAGATTTTGGCTATATATATGTGCACTGAGGGCCCCCTGCTACCTGTATATTGCAGAGGGGGGTGGGTGCACACTTTGCACTCACTACACACACTACATTCACTATACACACTTTGCACTCACAACAAACACACTACATTCTCTGCACTTACTACAAACACACTACATTCACTATACACTCTTTGCACTCACTACAATCACACTACATTCACTAAACACACTTTGCACTCACTACACACACTACATTCACTAAACACACTTTGCACTCACAACAAACACACTACATTCTCTGCACTCACTACAATTATTATTATATTTAGATAGCGCCAGCAAATTACGTAGCGCTTTACAATGTGTGGACTAGAAAACATGCACACACTATATCCACTACAAAAACACACACTCTGCAGTCATTATACAAACGCACTCTGCATTCACTATACACACTACATTCACTATACACACTTTGCACTCACAACAAACACACTACATTCTCTGCACTCACTACACTCACACTACATTCACAAAACACACTTTGCCCTCACTACAAACACACTACATTCACTATATTATTATTATGATTTTATTATTATTATATTTAGATACCGCCAGCAAATTACGTAGTGCTTTACAATGTGTGGACTAACAAACATGCACACACTACATCCACAACAAAAACACACACTCTACATTCACTATACACACTCCATTCACTATACACACTTTGCACTCACAACAAACACTCACAACAAACACACTACATTCTCTACACAAGCTCACACCTACATTCACTACACACACACTCTGCATCTAATGCATACAAACATTACATACATTACACAAAACATACAAGCAGCATCTACTATACACACTGGATTCATGACACACATACCGCATGCACTACACTTATTCTACATCCACTATACACACACCACATTCTATTGGGATTCAATAATAAACTAAGAACAATGGGTTTACCCATTAATGAGCTGTACTGCTTATAGAACTCAGTGCCCCTTTAACTAATGTCCAAAACACTTACTTCAATGACTATAAGGCAATGGGTGGTAACATTGTTTTCACCTGTTTCAATAATTATTTCTGTTATAGTACATATCAAAAGACACACTGACATCTAATCAAAACACACAAAGGAAAAAAATGTTTCAACCACCAAATAGTATAATAAATAAATAAACAAAGTAAAATAAATAAGATAATTAAAACAAATGTTGTGTGATTGGCTGACATAGAAACTTTCTTTAAAATGAAAAACAAAACAAAAACAATCATGCAGGAAAATCAGCATTTTTGTTAAGCAGCTGACTACGAAGTATTGGGTACGCTTTAATTAGTGACAGCATATTTTCAGTAATGTGCGGTGACACAACGCTAATTAAGTGCATTACATTTAAGAGTTCTGCGGAATGTGTCATTTTTTTCTGCCGTGCTTCTGGCTCTCGGTTTCATACTGCTAATATTTTCTTTTTATAGTTTTGATCATCGTTGTCTTCATTAATGTTATTTTTTAATTAGTAATGAATAAAAACTAAGTTCATTATTGATGTAAATTGTTTTTGTCATAGACAAATCTAACTCATTACCGAATCACACTTAAGATGGTCACTAATAAGTTATGAGGTTCTGTCATGTTTTAGCATAATACAAAACTTTTTTTACAATTTTTTTTTATTTTAACATTATATGTAAAAAAAAAAGTTTCTATTTTCTTGTATGCTCCTTCTTTCTGAAGGCTTATTATGGTTCAAGATTTTAATTGGGTTTAACTGTTAATTTATCTATTACTCAGTATGTAAATGTCCTAGTTAATCCATATCATCATCAGAAATGGGCTAAGTGCCCCCTCTCAGCTGATGAAGACAGGAATAAATAAATGTTAATTAAAGAATGCATACATTTATTCTTCTCTGCCTTAACAATAATTATATATCCAAGTTGAAAGAAACTATTACAGAGAGTATTGTGATGGTGACATGAAACATAGGATTAATAGTTATACATTTTATATTAATATTTTGGATAAACTATTCAATGATCAAAATCTCTTAGAAAAAAACATTTCAAATGATTTATCTACTTCCCATAGACTTTAACGATGACATCTGAAGATAAATCATTTGAAAGGTTTTTCTAGCAGATTGTGATAATTTAAAAAAAACGTATCCAAAAATATTAGTTCGAAACAATAGTGAGGAAAAGAATATGATAAATATTGATACAATTTTCTATTTCCCTGGCTAATGTATTAATTGAAAACCATCTTTTTCAAAAATGAGGCCCCGGCAACCTATTTGGAGAAATCCAGCGACACGGCTATACAGTTGTGCTCAAAAGTTTGCATACCCTTTGAGAATTAATAATATTTGTAAAAACAGGAGTGAGAAGGCAAAACACATTTCCTGTATTTATTATGGGATTCATATTCAACTATAGATTCTTTTTTGTTGTGTTTAATTTCTGTTTATTGATTTTGTAGTCAGATAACAAGCAGTACAAAACAGTATAGTACATTAGCACACACAATAAAACAGCCGTAGTTGACAATAATGTTTTCCAATCATGAGGATGTAATCATATTAGCGATCATACATGTTGTCATATTTTGAAATACAGTATAGTTATGACATTACATATAATGCATCTGTCAAGCCCGGTCTGGACTTGTTATTGTCTGAATTGGACAGTAGGTCAATATTGATCGTGTCTCATTAATACAGAATGTTAGACTGAACATATATCTTAATGAAAATACTATAACAATGCAACATAGAAAATAAAAAAGAAGGAAAAGATAACAATAGAAATAGTGAACTTGGTTGCTTTGGAATGTGGTTAGCTCAGTCAGTTCTTGTTTGGTTATGGACTTATGAGCCCCTTTCGTCTGTTATCTATAAAGTTATGGTTAAGCTTAAGCCTTTGAATCATGACTTCCCTAATGTAAATATACATACATCACAAGGTTTGTCTCATACCGGATCGTACTTGATGGGGTGGGTGGGGGGAGATATGATGGCAATTCACATTCAGTGTATTTTCTGAAGGACGCATGTGATTCATCTATTGATTCAGTTGGTTAGGGGTGTTTCATGGGTTATTGGAATTTGTGGGGATGAGGTCTTGAGTCATAAAGAGTTTCCATGGCTACCAAATATCCCTATATTTAGAAGATTTACCCAATGATGCTCATCTGAGCTCCTTCAGAGTACGGAGGTGGTCCACCTGGGTGATCACCTCTCTAATAGTGGGAAATCGAGAGGTCCTCCATAGATTGGTTATTACCATCTTAGTGGTTGTGAGAATGAAAAAGGGAACTGAGGATTTGTATTTAGAGATAGGGATGTTTACATAGTTTAAAAGCAACGTGGCCATGTGGAAAGGTAATGTTGTCCCTTCAACCTTTTGAATAAGAGATTGCACATTTTTCCAAAACGGTTGTACATGTGGACAGGACCACCATATGTGTTGAAAATTGCCTATGTCCTTTTTGAAACTCCAAAAAGTTTCGGACGCTCAAGGTGAGTATGCATGTAGGTAGGTGTAATGTACCACTGCGCTAGAACCTTGTAGTTTGCTTCTTGCAGCGGTACTCTCGTGTGGGAGTGGAATTTTTATAAAAGTATTTATTCCATTCTTTAGTGTCTAGTGGGGGCGATACAACATCATTCCATGGAATTGCGTATGAGGGTAGGTTTGGGTACACCATGGGTTGTAACAGCTTGTAGCAGGTGGATAATATCTTAGGGATTGGTGAGGTAGATGTGCACAGGCCTTCAATGTGTGTTTCTGATCTGGGACCTGCGTTTGGAATGGGAATCATTTTTAGGAAATGTTTCAACTGATAATATCTAAATTTCTGAAGGTGCGTGGGGGTGTCAGTGGCAGCCAATGTGTTGAATGACCCTAATGTTGAGTTGTGATACAGGTGAGATATTGGTAGATATGTGGCATTAAGTTGCTGCTTTGTTGTGGAGAATTGCCATTCCTGTCCTCCCATCGGGAAGTCAAGGTTGTGTGTTATCGGATATTTTGGGGAGAGAGATGGTGTTACATTTGGATAGTGAGCTACTTTTTTGCAGACCTTCATCGTATCTGATAGCGTGGGATGTTGTGGGATTTCAGTGGAATGTTTTAGTGCCACCAACCATGGCAATGCCTGTAGTGGTATACGTGAGAACGACTGTTCCAAGGTTATCCATTATTTGAATGTTGTTCTCGTGGACCAGTCCGCTATATGCCCCGAGTGTATTGCATAATAGTACAGTATAAAGTTGGGGACTCCCAGTCTTCCCATGGTTTTGGGTCTCGTAAGGGTGTTGAATGATAGTCTTGGTTTCTTGTGTGCCCATATAAAGTTGGTAAATATTGATTGCATATGTTGGAAAAAGGAATTCAGAATTGTTATAGGTAATGTGTTTAAGAGAACTCTCAGTAGAACATTCACAGAGAGGATGTTAACCCTTCCCATCCATATGAGGTGAGGTTTGATCCATTGTGTGAGATCTTTAGTTATAGCCTGTAGTGGGGGTGGGAAATTTGTGGCATAGAGATCAGATACGTGAGACATGAGAGTGATTCCTAGATATTTAATATCCTTCGTGGACCATTTAAATAGAAATGTGTTTTTTAAATTGCCGTAAATGGTTAGTTCCTCCATAAGGGGTGATATTGAGGATGCCGGTGATCGGAGGGTAAATAAGAGATCATCTGCAAATGCAGACTCCTTATGCGTGGAAATACCACAGGAGAATCCCTGTATGGAGTTATTTTTTGCGAATGGCATGCAACATTGGTTCAAAGGGTAAATATAAATAGTAGAGGGGACAGGGGGCAGCCCTGCCTTATGCCGTTTCGGATATTGAAGGGATTGGATAGTTGCTCAATAACTTTGAGTCTGGCTGAGGGAGTAGAGTAAATGGCAGAGATCCAGTTAAGCCAATTCTGTCCAAATCCTAATGTCCACATTTATGAATTATATGGGTCTATAGTTGCTACAAGATTCAGTATCATTCCCTGGTTTGAGGATCAAGGTTATTGTCACTTCCAGGGCGGAGTTGCAGGAGAGTTTATTGCCTGTAAGAAATGTGTTTTTAAGTCCAAAAGAAATGTTTTGTAATAATGGTTGGAGTATCTGTCCGGTCCTGGATTTTTGTCTGTCGGGGGTTAAATGAACAGCAGTGGTCAGCTCCTCCTCACCATCGCTGGTGTCAGAGTAGTGTCAAATTTTGTTTCTTAGATAGTTAAGCTTATATGAGGTGGTGGAGGTATTGTTTTGGGGGTTGTATAGAGATTAATAGTATGTCTGAAATGAGTCAGCTGTCTCCTCTGTCGTGTGCACCAATGTGTTCAATTTGTTTTTGATCTTAGGTACATATGTTGTGAGTTGTTGTTGTTTTAATGCCCTGGCAGGCATCTTACTACATTGATTCCCTTGGGCGAAAAATGTATGTTTGGTCCACAGAAGGGACCTTTTAGTTCTATAGTTTAACAGGATTTTGAGGTCAGAACAGAGGGAGGTTAAAGTACGATATTCCTTGTCCGAGAGTGAGGTTTAATGTTTAGTTTCCAGGATATGGATTTTATCTAAGAGTGTTCTACATTCTGCAGACCTTTCTTTTTTGAGGGTAGATCCCCATTTGATGAGTTCCCCTCTTAAGACAGCCTTGTGGGCTTCCCATCTCATGTAGGGGTCATTGTCAGGTGTGGAGTTTTCAGGAAAATAGTGTGTGAGGGCCTCGGAGATAGCCTTCTTGACTCTATCATTTTGCAGTAAATGAGGATTTAGTTTCCATTGGGACTGTTTAATGGGAATGGAGGGAATTTGCAGCGTGAGGTGGATTGGAGCGTGGCCGACCACAAAATGTTACCAATTGTTGCTGAGCGAAGTTAGGGTAGAGAGTCATCAGAAACATGTCTATCCTAGTATAGGTTTTGTTAGGATCAGAGAAATATGCATAGTCTTTAAGAGATGGATAAAGTATTCTCCAGCAATCTATTAATTGGAATTTGTCGAGGAGTGTATGCATCTGGATTCTCATGGAGGTGAGGTGTGATGGATTTATAACAGTGCTGTCTGTGTGAGTATCCAGAGAAATGTATAGTCCCCCCCAATGACCACTTCTCCCTCTGATAGTTTATAGACATTTGCCATGATATGTTGAAATGTAGCACATTGATGCTTGTTGGGGAGGCATACATTAACCAGAGAAATGGGTGTGGTGCCAAGTAGGCCATTTAGTATAATGTACCTACTGGAGTTGTCCTAATGGTGGTTTCTATATGTAAAGGGTGTATTTGTAATGAGCAGTATAGCAACCCCCCTGCATTTAGTTTGAGCATAATTGTGGTAGGCATGTGGATATCGTTTGTGGTATAACTTCAGATACCCTTAGGTGGGTTTCTTGTAAGAATATTATATTTGCGTCAGTTTTCACTATCTCCCTCATCACCATCAATGTTTTCTCCAGTAGCTTTAGTCCTCTAACATTGTGGGATATTAGTTTAATAGTTCCCATGGTGTTAGGGAACGTAAATTATAAAATGTGGTGAAGGGTGAACCCCTCCATGAGTGAGACAGAACATATTTTTTATTGGCGCTCTGGTTTTTTATTTTATTTTCAAAGTCCGACGGGGGCCAGGGGAGAAAAAAGGTCCCCCCCATTTTTATTTAGGGCCCCCACCCACCGTTCATAGGTGGGGGCTGGAGGGGAGGACAATAGGTCCCCCCATTTTTATTTAGGGTCCACACCCATCGCTCAGGGGTGGGGGCTAGGGGGGAGGAAAATAGCCCCCCCTTATTTTATTTAGGGCCTCCTCCCACAGCTCAGGGGTGGGGGCTGGGGGAAGGACAATAGGTCCCCTTCTTCTATTTTTATTTAAGGCGGGTGAGGGGGGAGGCAATAGGTCCCACATTCAGTTTAATAGTCCCCACTCGCATGGCACAGGCCACAGGCTGCTCACTGTTTACTAGACATGCCCCTACTGGCTGCATAGCGAGTAGGGGCAGAATTTACTAATACGTAGTAATCTTTACTTAGTATTAGTAAATTTGGCTGAAAGACCAATTTAGATCTTTCAACCTTTTGGTAGATAGCTCCCTGATACCGTGAAAATTAGGGAGTTATCTACTAAGCGGCTGCAAGATGTAGCCGCGGCATGAATAGGATCGGAAGTTTCATTCATTCAAATGAAATTCCAATCCGAACAAAGTCCCGAATTGCGTCCTAACATGAATGGAGAAACTGTTCGGTGGTTTCGCCGGTGTTCTGTCTAAATGACAGGACATTCGGGAATGCTGACAGGAAGCATCGTGAGATCACGGGTCAAAGGTGAAAACTGTGGGAAAATTGCTTTGATCACCGGAAACGAAGCACACTTTGCTCCTCCGCTGGTCAAAGCTGGTCAAGCGTAGGAAACCTGCATAAGACAAAGTAGTCCCTACTTTGTCTTATGTTTTAAAGAAAACTAGAGCAGACAGGAAGAAATGAAGAACAGCTCCTGACAGAGGGAAAGAAGAGGAATCGATTAAAGAAAGGTAAGTTCAGCATGACAGTGCCACTTTAAAGTGTTGCCAGAAGTGTGTAAATATCGACTTCAGCTTCAGTAGAGTGCCTTCGATAGAGCGGTGCTGGTTCCATGTCAGGCTTTGCAGCTAAAAGACTGTGATAATCCTCGCCGGTTGGATTTCCTAGGGGAAATGGGGCAGCAAGAGGACTCTTCACTGAGGTCTTGCTTTGCAGACCAGGAGAACAGTCACCTCTCCTCATCTGATGTGTTGGTAAACTGGTAACTGGCACTTCTGGAACCTGACCCAGAGCACATTGCTAGTAGCTGGAACTGAGTAAGTCCCAGTGGTATGCAGGATACACTGAGTTAGTAGAGGAGCACTCAAAAGATATGTCTGACCCCCTTGATGTTCAGGCACTCCTCCCCCCCCCCCAGGAAAAGTATTGTACTTTGTTTTTATTACTATTTTCAAACTTTTCCTTTAAGTTGGATATTTTGTCAGAATGAAGACAGCTGGCAAAGTATCATATTTGACATCCAGTACTTTGTATTTTTCCATTCATCGCTTCATAGCTTTCCATTTAGAACCTCTTCCAGTCCAGTGCATGTGAGATTTCACGATCATGAACAATACGCTATTAACAGTGATAAATACAGATATGACGTAAATCAGGAAGGCGTGTTATTTCAAATTACAACTGTTACATTTCTAGACACCAATGACACATATTAACCACCAAATGAAAAATCAGCACATCAAGTAAGAAAATGCTAAAATAATGTATGAACTTAATAAAGAATCCTGGTAAGATCATTGATATTTTAGATAGCTATGGGTTCATTTATGGAACAGTGGCTATTATAGAATTGCAAAGTAAAAGCCTGATTTAGGTGAAAGTGGAATTAAAGTTAAACTGGAGATTTATTTTCAGTTTCTCTGGCGACTTTGTCTTAAAAGACTGTTTAGTCAGTGGCGTACACATGACCCATGGGGCCCCGGTGCGAAAATTGATCCGTGGGCCCCCCCGCCCTCCCCGCCCCCCCCCGCGCGCGGGCCGGGCCGCAACACATGACGGTGGGCACCTGGTCGCAGAGGTTACAGGGCTGCGACCCCTGCGACCGCGGTATGTACGCCAGTTCATGCAGACGCACACACACTTAAAGGACCACTCTAGGGACCCAGACCACTTCAGCTTAATGAAGTGGTCTGGGTGCCAGGTCCAGCTAGGGTTAACCCATTTTTTCATAAACATAGCAGTTTCAGAGAAACTGCTATGTTTATGAATGGGTTAAGCCTTCCCCTATTTCCTCTAGTGGCTGTCTCATTGACAGCCGCTAGAGGCGCTTGCGTGCTTCTCACTGTGATTTTCACAGTGAGAGCACGCCAGCGTCCATAGGAAAGCATTATGAATGCTTTCCTATGTGACCGGCTGAATGCGCGCGCAGCTCTTGCCGCGCGTGCGCATTCAGCCGGCGGGGCGTAACGGAGGAGGAGAGGAGGCAGAGAGCTCTCTGCCCAGCGCTGGAAAAAGGTAAGTTTAACCCCTTTTCCCCTTTCCAGAGCCGGGCGGGAGGGGGACCCTGAGGGTGGGGGCACCCTCAGGGCACTATAGTGCCAGGAAAACGAGTATGTTTTCCTGGCACTATAGT